TGAGATGAAGTGAGTTCACATCATGGAAGGCCATGATTGTTAGGCCAAAATTAAAATTGAGTGTGATTCAGTAGATAATAGATAGCCACTGTAGATTCTTGGGTTGCGATGAAAATGATGTTTGAGAAAGATTATTTTGATATAAATACTATTAAGGGTGAATAGGAACCTGAGGAAGACAGGAGGCTAGAGACCTAGAACCTGCATAACTTTATATTGATTCAGTAATGAAAGAATGAGGGCCCAGACTGAGTCAGTGACAAAGGAAATAGACAAAAAAAGCCCAATGCAAAAGATATCTAAGTGACTAATTGGCAGAACTTTGGGACTAGATATGGAAGCTGAAAGATTTTTGAAGGAAATATCAATGCTATGAGATACCATGTTCAGGATTCTTAAAAATTTTGTCACAGACCAAGGTTGATCAGTATCTTTTCACTTCATATAAGGGATAAGTACTGTGTAGAAGTAAAAGAAGAAATTTGGCAAGTGAAGCCTATTCATAATATTCTTGACCTTTACATGCATAATTGTTCTTCATTGCCTTTGCCCTTTTTACTTTTTAAAAAATATTTTAAGAATAAGGCCAGACACCACAATAAATTATTTTATAGTGTCTATTTCCTCACTGTTTTAGGAAAAGTAAAGTACCCTTTATCCTAATTAATAGCTACATGACCCAAAGAAAAGAAACAGAATGTTAGAATAACTACAGTTTTGTTAGCAAGACATTTGTGCTCCATTAAGAAATATGTGAAGGCCTTATCCTAAGAATAAAAATGTGGGTATTTGGATAAAGGCCTAATTCCTAATTTTCCCCACAAAAAATTGTGTCACTTTCTGATAACTAGCATCATCAACTAATTCTATCATATTAATTTAACAGAATAGTCAAATGTCATTGCTTTAATTTGTTGGAATTATAGTATATTTATGAAAAACAGTGGCAATTGCTTTTAGGAAGTACTCAGATGGCGACTGTTGCTATGAATAGTTTTAAGACTAAGACTAATTTGTGTAGACAAGAATGAGTTCTCTAAGTTTCTAGAGTGTCACCTATAGTTTTTGCCATAATAATTTTTAAAATACATGTAAATATTAAGAGTGATCCCTTATTTTCAAGAAATTTTCTAGCACTAAGTCTATTTCAGCTCCAAATAGAAAAGAATGAGATAAAACGTTTATATGTGAGAATTTATTGTATTCTTTCTTGAAAATTTACTAGAAAGGTAATCACACAGATACCACGTTTGGCAAAAAATATATGTATTTAGCTTCTCCTGCGTCATTTCACTGAGGTAGTTAATTTAGATTCATAAATATCTTTTTTTTTCTTGGCCAGGAATTTTAAAGTATAGTACTAGCAAAATATTTCCCTTTTAAAGGGAAGTGAAAGTATATTTATTGTTTTTATTTGGATTCTCACAAATGGCACATCCATACAAAATTGTATAATTTTTATTTTTAAACTGAGTTTCTTGCATTAGTCAGTAAACACTTAATTTATTTGGTGAACATTCCTTGTAAGCAAGCATACACCATGTGAACATTTAGGAAACAGAAGGTGCTTGAATTTGTGAGATTTAAATATTTTCTCACAGTTGATCCAATGATGCTGAAGTTGAAATAAAACTATATATAAATGAAATACCATTTTCTACTGAAATCCAAGTGTAAATTTTCTACCACTGTTTTAATGAGAATAATACTTCCATCTATTCAATGGAAATATAAATTTGCAGTATATTTACCTCCAAATCAATTCCAGATTTTACCCTACATATTTCATCCTTCCTTTTTGCAAGCAAATATACACAATTAGTTACCCTTAGGTGTGAATATGCACATACTTTAATAATTCCAGTATGATTTTTACCTGTCATGTGTGAACATTCATATACTTTAATAGTTGCAGTATTCTTTTTACCTCTCTACGTAGGTATGGCTCCATGAGACTACAAATACACCATGAAAGGTGATAAGAGTTGGAGTCAGAAAACTTATGTTCAAGCCCAGACTTCTATATTTCTTAAGTGTAGGGTCCTAAAGCATGTTGGAGATCAAACATGAACATCAATAAGTAAAATCAGCAGGAAAAGAAAAACAGGTGGTGGACCTCAGTCACTTAGCTTCTCAAAGTGTCAGTTTCCTGATTTGTAAAATGAGAATATTAATAATTATCCTACGTGCCTCAAAGAATTGATGGGAGGAAAGTGTTTTGCAAGACTCCAAGCAGTGACTAAACAGTTACTGTGATCTGGAGCAAACCCCTTAGCCTTCTAGTTATCAGATTCTTGACACCCAGCATATAATGAGAGTGTTGGCCCAAATGACAACTCGCTGGGTTTCCTCCAACTCTGTATACATGATTCTCTTATTAATTAGATAGCAATAATATTAATTTCTGACTTTATGCCTGTGTTAACAATCAGGTTTCTTTTTGTTATATATATTATCTTTCATACATATTTATGTGTGTGTGTGTCTGCGTATATATATATATATATATATATATATATATATATATGTTTCTTAGTGAAGCAGTTGGGGTTTGGGGACTTGCCCAGAGTCACCCTGGTAAGAAGTATTATGTGTCTAAGGTCGGATTTGAACTCAGGTCCGCCTGACTCCAAGGCCAGTGCTGTGTCTACTGCTCTACTTAGCTGCCGCTCATATATTTTAAAAAATACTCCTTTAAGTGAATCCTATTTAAAATATGAGTTATTTAGACCAAGGACAAACAAGGTATACTGAAAAGAACACTGGATTTGGAGTCAGAAGACCTGATTTAAATCCCAGCTCTATGCCTTGCTTCTGTATGACCTCGGGAAGACACCTAACTGCTGAGAGGTCTTTGTTCATTTGTAAATGAAGTTGCTGGTCTAGATGATTTCTAAGCCCCTTTTCATCTTGGAGTATACGGCCACAGTCTGATTCACATCTATTTTTCCAGATCATTTCACATCCTCTGTGTTCCAGGCAAACTTGCCCTCTAGCTGTTTCTGGAACTCAGCGTAAAGTCTTCCCTGCGATGGACTTCCCGCTCCCACCCCCCATCCCAGGAATGTACTCCTTCTCACCTCGGCCTCTTAGAATCACCAGTTCCCTTCAATCCTCAGGTTCCGCATCACCTCCTACAGAGGACCTTTCCAGATACCCACCAACTGTTTGTTTTCTTTTCTTCCTCTTGATAATACTTTGTGTTCTTCTTTTATCTCCCTCCCCCTGTAGTAGATGGTAAGCTCCTTAAGGGCAGGGGCTGTTGAATACCTAGCTAAATGCAGCTTAGGTTTCTGGATGTGTTTTGGTGCTTACCCATGATTTCATCAATCAGAGGAATTTCCAGTGTGAAAACTTGTTTTACTGATACAAATTAGCAACTCCTCTATAAAACAGGGTCTTAGGAAATGTCCAGGGCACCGACAGGTTAAATAATTTACCCATGGGTATGAAGTTAGTATGAAAGAGGCTAGACTTGCATTTAGGTCTTCTTGATCCGGGGCCACTTCTGTCTAGCACATTGCTTGGCACACAGTAAGCCCTTAATTGATGCTGTATCTATGATGTCAGGCTACCTTTCCTGGTAAATGCTTCATAAATGCTTTTTGAATTGAATTGTGTGATCCTGTGAACTCATGATAACATATGCCAGTGCATGGTCAATAGCATCATCATCCCCATCATGAATGCTTTTGGCTCCAACCAAACCTATTGCTGACATCCTGGAAGTGTTCTTACAACTCTTATCAGAAACACAAACTTACATATATGTATATGTGTATATATCTATAGATATCTATGTATCTATAGATATATGTATGTAATCACACATGCGTGTGTGTACATATGTATACGCATACATATATGCACATATATATCCACAGGAAGTAGTTACAACTAAACTCTTCTTATCTAAGTCCATTTTCACTGATCAACACAGGTAGATATTGTGAACGGATTTACCACATCAGAATCAGTTGTTTGGTCTTTCCTATCAAATAACACCAAGCCACTGTGTAACTTACTCTGTGTAGCCATTGATCTAGATTAAATGTCAGACTTGATGGCATAGGGCATCACTCTGTGGCCTGGGCATCCACAGGCCTGGCTCTCCTGTTAACTCTGATTTGGAGCAACTCACTCAGGCCCCCTGGGCCTCAGTTTCCTCATCTGCTTGAGCTTTAGTCCTAAGTTAGTCCTGAAATTTGCATCTATTCTATGTTCCTACAAAGGAAATTAATGTATCTAAAAGACCCCATCTGAATCTTAATCTCGGCCTGCTACTCAAGAGAAAATATTCACCATTGAAATCATCTTGTCTGATATTCGGCTCTTCATAAATGCTTGTTGAATTCCATTGGATATTGTTCATGTCTAAAATCAAGGCCAGCAAGTCTGGTTGAAAGGTTCAAGGAAGCAAGAGTTTCTAAGGTATGCTAAGCTACTTTATTCATGTCTATCACAGCATTAAAAAGATTGGAAAGTGTAGTAATAGGGGTGGGAGTGGAGTCCAGAAAGTCATACCTAAAGATGCTTTGTAAAGTAGTCTTCTCTTCCTTTGTTCACAAATAATATTTCATACCTTCTGAAGCCTTCTTCATTTTGATCAATGTATTTTCTTTCTGAATGTGCCACTGTATTGATAACTGATGTTTATATTGCACTTTAAAGTTGGCAAATCCCTTTATATACATGATGTCATTTGAGTTTTACAACAACCCTGTGAAGTGAGCACTGCACATATTATGAGTCTCAGACAGATCAAATGACCTGCCTATAATCACACAAATAGTAAACATCGGTGGGAATTCTTCCTGACCCAAGTTCATCATTCATCTGCTACACACCACATAGCTTGTAGTAAGACTGTGGGTATTTAGTAGTTACTCAATAAATTTACTTGTTGATTGAATGATGTAGGGTGATGGATTTTTCTGTACCTTATTCTCCTTCACTGGAGATGGGGCTACAAAAACCATTTGACAGAGTTGTTCAGAAAATAAAAGGTCCTTATTATAATAAAGTACTTGGCAGGGTGTGTGGTGTTTAATAATACTCCTCTTTCTGTGAAATGAGAAAATAGTATAGATCATTAGTGTTATTAATAACCACAATGCTGCTTCTGTTCATGAGTTTTCAAAGAACTTTGAGATACATGTTAATTAATCCTTACAAAAAGTCTTATTAAGTAGATAGTGGTATTATCCCTACTTTACTAATGTGGGAACTGGAAGAATAGAAGATTAAATAATTTCCCCTAAATCATGTGGGCTCCTCAATGGCAGGGCCCAATACTGAACTATGTTTCAGGATTATTCTCTAAATACTAGGTGACACTTTTTAGCTTAAGGTATTTTAGCAGATAAGTTTTATTTTTGAAGAGCAGCCAGAAATCTATTAGAATCTAGCAGCAATATATCTGTTTCTTATGAATATATATTCCTTCTGAGGATCCCCAAAGCATGTATAATGAAACATTTGTTAGGTGAATAATTTCAAGAGGTCTTCTTAGGCAGTGGGCACACATTAAGTGAATTCCACTGGGCAATTGCCTTTCCAGACCTTTCCCACCAACAGAGAGTAGCCAGAAGGTAACTAACCTAATAGATGAAGAATTCTAAAAGTGAACTATGCTTAAATTTAATAAGAATATTTAAAAACTGCAAGGTAAGTGATTATTCTGAGAACACTAAGATATTTTAAAATAGAGTTACCAGTAACTCTGCTTCACATGGAGGTTTGTAATTCATACAAATCGTGATTCCTGGATGTAAGTTATTCTCAATGACACATTGCAAGTAGTTTGGAAAAGTCAGCCTGGGCAGGCAGTTGCTGGATACCTTAATGTCCAGTTCCTGTCTGTTTTGTGACCCAAGGATAACTTAAGTGCATGTGGATAATGCACTTTGGGTCTCATGGGCAACAAAGTTTAATCTCAGATAGGCTCTCACACTATCTCCCAGCCACATTTTCCCTAACACCAGTTTGGTTTATACTCAGAGAATACAAATTACTTTTGATACTGACCTGAGGGAGAAAAAATGTGTTATCAAGGTAAATCATCTGCCCTTAAAAAGTATCACTGGAAATCAAATATGAATGACCATAGACTCACCAGTGTTTTCATTTTACATACTATTCTTTCCTTCCATAGATCATCAAAAATTGACGATGCTTCATTTTACATCAAGATTTTCCTGATGTGTGGTCAGGATAGATGGATTTTTGTTTTTAGTGCTATAACCTTCTGAACTTACCTTCATACTCTTCTTAAATTTCAGCATGATTTAGTGCCACTGATTTATTCCCAACCATAACTGAGGAATTATTGAAATAGCCTATGTAGGATATAGAATTAGAGATATCAGCTGCATTCTTTGCAAGGGGATGGAGGGTGAGGTGAATGAACCTGTAATTGATGTAATTGAAGTGATACAGGAAACTCCTAATGAGAAAGACTTTCTTCTGCCAATGGAGATCATCATCTGCTCTTCAACTTACACTGTTAGGATCTCCTGCAGCACCAAGAGGTTGTGACTCACAGACTTAATGTGTGTCAGAGATGAGACCTGAGCCCTGACTCTGAGACCACCTTTCCTGTCCCCTGTGAACACTCTTATTTACTAAAGTGGTAGATGTAGTATGAACTGTAAAAGAACTATGCTGAAGGAGATACATGAGACTTTTTGTGGCATTTTGGATGCCATTGAGATACATGAGACACATGTATATTGTTGGGACTCTTTGGTGCAAGGTAGTGGGAGAGTCACTTAAAAGATCAATGTTTGATCTTCTCCAGGAACCCGGAGATCTTTTCTGAATATGAACAAATGTATGAAATACCTACCAGTTGATTTACTGGTTAGGAGGGAGGAGGAAGAGAGAAGAAGGTGGGAGAGAAAGCTACATTATATTAAAAAGAGAGGCAGCTTCTGCTCTAAATACTGTGAATTTTAACTCTCTCTGGCTAAGACTTCCAGCAAGAGATGACTAAGGAGACCTTTATAGAGTGAGCCTCAAAAACAGATCCTGAACTCCCTCCCCCATCGTGAAATGATTACTGCTAACACGTGGAGTCTAGGGCACATATACTAGCCTGAACGAATCTTATCTGTTTTGGTCATTCCTACTCCTACCATTGTGTCCTCCTATTAGAAGTCTTCATTGTAGAAGGAAGACAACATATTTACTAGGGCTCAGCTGCTAGGAAAATGGAAACATCCAGTGGTCCTTATGGTGCTGTGGCGAAGCAGATGGTATTAAATCTTCTTTAAAGTCACTTCTGTTTGTTTCCAGAACAACTGTTCCAATTCACAGCTCCCAGCCCAGTAACAGTTCATTAAGGTGCCTGTTTTCCCTCAACTTTTCCAACATTTGTCATTTTCCTTTTTTTTTTTAACTTCATTAATACGATGGGTGGAAGGTAGAACCTCAAAATGGATTTAATTAGAATTTCCCTAGTGGTCTGGAACATTTTTTCATATGGCTATTAATATTTCATATTTATTTTCTTAAGAACTGGCCATTCATTTCCTTTGATGATTTATCAATTGGAGAATGGCTTTTATTCTTAAACTATATTTCTGATGTTAAACCATTTGACAAGGCCAGGTTCTTTGGTGGCAAGAACTTTCTTTTCAAGGTGTTTAGTAGCTGTGTCCTTGCTATGTATCCTTTCCATATTATTGCTAATGAGTCTCCTTTTGTTAAGGAGTGTATCATTTCATTCTACTCCTGAACTTGAAATTCAGAAGTGAACTGAGTCATGACTAGCCTACCACAACTTGTAATAAAGATCAAGAAAACACAATAAAAAAAGAAACCTTTTTCATAACAGCAAAAACTACCAAATTTGGAGCAATTAACCTAACTAGGTATACCCAGGACCTATATAAGGAAAACTATAAAAATATAATGACCAAAATTAAGAAGACTAAATAAATGGAGGGAACATCCAGTGTTCAAGAGTGGGCCAAATTAATGTAGTGAAAATAATATTCTCCAAATTAATTTACATAGCTAATACAGTTCTAATCATGATACTAGATAAGATCATAAAGAAATTTATATGATAAAGAATATCAAGTGGTACACAGAACAGAAAAGTTGGTGAACACAGTCTTGTTCCAAATCAGTTGTCATCAGAACTATCTGATGCTCAGGAAAAATAAACAGACCAGTGGAATAGAATAGACACAGCAGACATTCAGTCATAGTTATGCAAAAGATTAGTATTTAAGAAACATAGAGAAAATAAAAACTAAAATGAAGATTCATTATATAACAAATTTATATGGAAAAATTGGTTGATAGTCTGGTGGGAAAGGGATTTAGACATATTTTACACACAGTATACTGTAGTCAGCTAGATGAGATGTATACACACACACACACACACAGAAGAAAATGAAAATATCTCAATTATAGATGATAATTTTTAAAATTGAACCAATAGAAGTAATTATTAGGGACAAGATAAATGTTCTTTACTATGTGGAACTTAAAAATTTCTATATAACAAAATGATATTAAAAAGAAAGCATTGGGCAAGAATTTGACAGATGTGACAAATAAAAATTCAACTTCTAAAATATTTAAATAACTAATATTAGAAGAAAAAAAACAGCCCTGGCCCGCAATAGATAAATAGTCACAGGATATCAGAGGAATCAGAAATAGTTAACTAATTTTAAAGAGATTCCATGAATAATCAGAGAAATGCAAATTAAAACTCCCATGAATGAACAAAAATAATGAAAAGCAATGAAACAATGCTGGTAAGGTGGTGAAGGAATGACTGCATTCATCTAGTACTGATAGAATTGCAAACTTGCAGATCTTTTTAGAGATCAGTTTGGAAGTGCACAGTAAAAATTACAAAAAGAATCATATCATACTTCAACCCAACAATTCCATTATTAGAACCATAACCTGAACATGCTATAAAAACAACAATAACAACAACAAAAGAGTTATCTATACAAAAATGTTCATAGTAACATTTTATGCAGTTGTAAAAACAAGATCAACAACAACTGGAAACAAACTAATTTTTTTTAAAAAAAAGGAGAGTGGTTGATTAAAGTTGGGGAACATGCAGTGGATTATAATATGACAGATCAGTAGGCATGAGATATACAAAGAAATCTGGAAATGTCTATATGGAATCATATACAATGAAAAGGGGAAAAATGGAGTATACACATGTGTTTTTTGTTTTTAACTGGACCTGTGATTTTATTGCTGTAGTTCTAACTCCGGGTTTCAAAACTCCTTCTACCAATCCAGATCAGCATTGGTTTTAGAGAGTTGCCTGAGGGCACTAAGAGGTTAAGCAATCTGCTCAGGGTCACATGGCTCTTGTGTGCCAGAAACAAGACTTGATGACCATATAAGAGGAAAAGTGAATGAAAGTGAATGGACAAAGAAGCCTGATAAAGACTTGGGGCACAGACTGAAAAATTTTTATGATACCTCCTATATTGCAATTAATTTAAATGTATCTACTGTTTGGTTGGTTGTACTGATGTACAATCTTCATCTAATAAAAGGTTTTGTTTTGGTTTTTTTAAAGAAACAACATTCTTATTGGCCAGGGAAGCTCCAGGCTGTGACTGGGGGATAGTATCTAATAGCCATTGCTGTTCATATTGAAAGGCTTATTCCTCTGAATTTTGCTCAGCATTATCTCATTAGACAGCAATTGTTGTATAGCATAAAAGGAAAAAAAATACACCAAATTTATCTCAAAATTTTCACATCAGTATTATTTTTCTTTAAAATGAAACTCATCTTTTCATTATCAGGGTGTACTACCACTAATTCTATCTTCAGAGCATTTTTGCTTTGCTTTTAAGACTTCTATAGAAGACATTTGGACTAATAATTTATTAAGTAATTTATAATAATCTATCCTGTAACATTTCTGTAAGACTGGAAAGGTTCCAGGAGAGGTCATCTTGCCTAAACATCTCTTTCAGAACTACCTGTATACCACCCTAGAACAATGGAATGTAATTTAATTTTATGATGTAATAGGGAAGAAAATTCTACAACCTACCTTACCATGAATAAATCTTTCCTTGTTGGTATAGTTACTCAGCTATAGCATGACAAAGATACCGAGCACAGTTACTGCTTTGATTCAGTTGAGTATATTTGATTGTGGTCTCCCCCATTAGATTGTAAGCTTCTTGAGGGCAGAGACTGTCTTTTGCCTCTTTTTGTATTGCCAGCACTTAGTATATAGTGCCTGGCATGTAGTAGGTGCTTAATAAATGTTTATCGATTGATCTGTGTTATTAAGTGAACCCTCAGTCTTTTCTTATGTACTGTCTGTCCCTGGAGGCTAAAAATGATGCAGCTCTGATCTGACCTATAATTTGTTTAATGGTTTAGAAGCCATTTTGCATTTATCTTTCAAAAAGAAATAAAAAGGTATTGTGAGCTAATATTTTTTTTACATAAGACTCTTTCTAATGGAGTTCATTAATATAGACATGATTCTAATGCTCTAAGTTTCTTCCCTTTATTCTGAGTCTGATTTAGTGCATAGCTTCATGCTATTGATGATTTTTACTGTTTTTTAGGTGCCATTTGAAACTTATACACAGGCTAAGGGAGTCCTGTCCAAAAGTCTATATAACGTTAGGTTAACATTAGTGTGAATGTTGAACTATAGTGGTTTTTAAAGATTGTAATAAGAATGTCATTCATCCCATCTAATAGGTAAAATATTTGTTTAACGTTTAAATATTAGTTTACAGATTAATTTAAAATAATGTCTTATATTTCAAATTACTAGGCTCCCACCCCACATTGAAAATTTACATAAAATATGATTTAGCTAGTTTGTAGACCATCCTGAATCTCCAAGTACGGAAGAAATGACTGGCATTTAAAATTTTAATTTTGCAGTTTCCTACATGAAGTGTTTTATGGAATCCACAAGCTCACAGTGCCTTTAGTGTCTTTTCCTTTGATGTCTGTAAGTGGCCCATTCAAAATTAGAAGTGCTTATAATATGCAGAGAATTTGTCTGTACTCAGTTGAAGCCATTAGAGAGAACCTTTCTTTAGCTGCCTTTTGGGGGAAAAAATGTTTGGCACCAGCAGTACTATTAGGCTGTAATTAGTATAACTAACAACTAATGTGAAAGAGCAAAATAGAGGTCGCTGGAAAACTTCAGAGGTCATTACAGGTTAAGGTTGTAAGGCAGACAATCCACTAGCTTAATCCATTGCCATATCTAGTAAGATATGTTGAAATCATCCATGCCCTCTAACCTTGAGGTGTTATACTCATAATTTATTGGTCACAGGCCTATTTTTCTACTCATGCTTAGTTAGATGACTTTTTGAATGGCAGCTTTATTTTAAGGTTCATGTACAAATGTGCAGATTATCAGCTTTGAAACAGATAAAAGATTAGAGCTTAAACTCCTTTAATAGTTCTTATCCTGCTGTCTTTCTATTGAAATTGTCATTTTTCTGCATTTTAAAATATGGTTTGTTGAGAATGTATAAATGCAATATGGTGGTTATATTTAAAATCTTACTATAAGAAAACTTATATAATTAATTTTAATTTATACTGAATATTCTACTTTTTTTGGAGTTGTTTCTTCAAACTTAATTACCAACCAGTGGCTTTTGTTTACATTGAAAGTGAATTGTAACACTCTTAGAGGATAAGAATTCGACACAATCATCTTACCATGTTTTCACGTGGACTAGTTAACCCCTTCCTCATCACAGCTGGCTGTGGAACCCTCATCATTCTATGTGCTTCCTACACATAGAAAGAAATGAACGTTTCAAAGTTTTAGAGAATAATTATATCATAGGTTTAGAGCTAGGAGGAACTTTAAAGGTCATCTGATCTGATACCCCCATTTTACAGAAGAGGAATCTGAGGCATACAGACATTAAATGACTTGCCAACAATCATACAGCTAATAAGTGGAAATATACAAATATACATGTAGACACATACATACATATCTAGAAGTGAAGAAGACAGATAGCCTTATTAAGAAATGTCAAAAGTAAACTTTTTCCATTTTTTACTTTTCCTCATATTAACTTAGGCACAAGCTATCAAGATAACACTGTCAACCACAAAGCAGTCTGATGAATGTCCGATGATACTAGTAACTAATCAAATTTTAAGTATTGTCAGACCAGAATCCCATCTGGAAAACCACAAAAAAAAGTTAAGTCATTTTTGTCTCTTGCCTTCTATTATATATAAATAAACATTAGGAAGTTTACATTCTAACTGAGAGATGTGATGCATCAATAAGAGATGGTAATATTAAACGATTCATGTTACAAGAGGGACATCATGGTTTAGTGGATAGAGTGCTGGACTCAGGAAGACCTGAGTTTAAAGCCAGTCTTTAAAACCATGGACTAGTCACTTAAATTATCTGACTCTCAGAAAACTCTATGAGTTCTAAATGGTTTGTGAGGTTCATCAGTGGAGGGAATTCTCACACAAGCAAGATCAGAGGTCTTTGATATAGTGACATGACATTTAAGAGGGCAGGTACCAACATTTTCCCAGTCACCCAGAGCAGACCCTTAACTCTCCCATCCCTCATCCTTATGTCTAATCAGTCACCAAGTCTTATCCAGTCTACTTCCCCAGAATCTCTTGCACCAGAATAAATGGGTAGAAGTTGCAAATCAACAAATTTAGGTGTGGTGTCAGGAAAACTCTCCTAACAAAAACCTTGTGTTCCAAAAGTAGAATGGCTTAAGAGGTCTTCAGGGGCAAGCTGGATAACCACTTATCAGGTGTGTTACGAGAGGCATTCCTTTCAGGTATGGGCCAAATTACATGGCTGCAAAGGTTCCATTTAATTGTGAAATGCTGAGATTCTGGAATTTTCTTCACTTACGTGGCCAATACTTTAGATCAGACTTTCACCACCTGAATGAGTTAGTCTTCTGTTTGGTCTGCCTGCTTCCAGTCTCTCTTCTCTAATTAATTTACAGTTCTATACTAGGTTAGATAAAATATCATTTTTACTTTTTAAATACAACATATTTACTTATTGATATACATAATGTTTTTTCCTCCCCTCCCCCCAACAGAAGGTAAGCCCCTTAAGGGCAGATACTGTTTCATTTTTGTCTTTATATCCTAAGCACCCAGAATTGTACCCTGTGCCTAGGACATTTGATAAATGTTTGTTGAATGACCATACCCAGAGAGAAATAGAATGTCAAGTAAAACTTAATGTGGTCAAAAGAGAGTACGAGATAATGTGCTCAAAGAAGCCTTTCAGCTTTAGGCATCAGTTTATTTTAGGCATCTGTTTATTTTATTATTGAAATATTTAATTCAATTCAACACACATTTATTAAATGCCTTCTGTATGCAAGGTACTGGGCAAGATTCTGAGAGTAAAAAACCAATAAAGAAATCATTCCTGTCTTCAAGAAGCTTACATCCTTCTGGGGCCACACAACTTGTATACTTTAATATATACAAGGTAATTTGAAAAGGTAGAACATATTCACAACCAGAGATGTCAGGAAAGTTTTCACTTAGAAAGTGGGATCTGAGATGACCTTGGGAGGGATCTAAGAATTCTAAGAGGTGAAAGTAAGAAAGAAATTCCAGGCATGGGGAATAAATAGACTATGCAAAGTCAGGATGATGGGAAAATGGAATGATGAGTTAATTGAAAAATTAACTAACAGGCTGCAACCTAGAGTGAATAAAGGGAAGCCATGTAAAACATGACTGAAAATGTTGGAAGAAGCTTGATTCTAGAACATTTTTGATGCATCAGTAGGCATGGGAGCTTTGGAGATGGCAACATCTCCTTAGACTAGTGGTGCTACTTTCCAGTCAAGTCCTCACAGCTATCATCTGGGCAAGAAATTCTTGTGGAAAGGGGACCAGCCATTCCCACCAACTGCCAAGCAACTGTCATTCATGAAGTGGGTATTTCAGCCTAGCTGAAACAACAAGACACTGGGGAAGACACAGGCAGAAGCATGTGTTGGGCAGGTCAACACAAAATCTTGACTATCATCTCCCCTCAAACCCTGATGCGGACAGCCCAGGACCCTGGACCCAAGAACCTTAGGAGTAACGAGTGGTCAGTAGTTGTTACTGGTAGAGGTGAGGGTCCCTACTCCACAGTGATTCTTCCCTCAATGTTGACTGTGGAGACTGGGCTGGAAGCAGATGTGGCAGTTTTGGGAGTCACTGCTATTCCCAAAGCTCTTGAGTTCAGGGTCCTGGACTATCTCCATCAATGTCTGTTGGGGCTGGTAGTGGTTGTGATGGTGTGACTTGACAAACCCTTGGCAAATTCCCTGGCACATGCTGCCAGGAATATTGTATTCCTGCTGTGGAAAATGTGATATAATCAATCAGAAGAATAAAAGAATTGTCATGCCACAATGAAGTCCCAACTGAGACAACATAACTTGCATTCAAATCATTCATAAGATCGTGGATTTTGAGCTACAATGGAACCTAAAGGTCATCGAGGTCATCTCCCCACATTTTACAGATGAGATAACCTGAAAGGCTAAATGATTTGACCAAGGTCACAGACATGATTATTGGCAAAGCTAATATTTGGGCTCAAAATTCTCAGACTCTAAATTCAAGGCTCTTTCCACTGTAGCCTGCTTTTTCCACCCATTTGGCAATGGACCCAGGTAGCTTGGTTGCATAACTTTTTCCAACAGAATTTGTCAGGCTAAGAGCGAGAGCAGAAAAGGTAGATGGAGCCTAAGGCAGAGGTTTGTCAAGACTGGGAGATAAAACCAAGTATACAGGGAATTCAGCAGTAAAGAATAGTACATAGTTGAACTAGTCAAAAATATGATCAAAACTCTGAAGGAAAACAATTTACTTTTTGCTTATTTAATTGATAAGTTTGTTTAGATTTGCTCTGTTGTTTTCATCTCCTCTTATGTTTGACTACATGTGGGTTATAACTTATAACTTCTCTGAGATTGGGAACCATGTTTGTTTAACTTTATCTAAACTGTGACTAACAAAGCAAGGCCAATAGGCATTGTTTAATTATTTTTGAGTAACCAATTAATTGATGTACCCTAAGAAATACTTAAGAAAAATTCTGTACTATTGCATATGGGAAATGAATGACCTTGCCTATAAACTAATACTACTTACAGCATAGTATTTGATGCTTAGAGTATCAAATTATTCAGAGCATTTTAAAAAACTAAAGCATATACTAATAATGCTACACTGAAAATCCCCACTGACAAAATCTTTCTATATATAGGAGTTCCTAAGCAAAGACACCAAAGACAGTATTTGGAAAATCTTCTTTTTTTCCAGACTATCTTACGATTAACTATGGAAGCACTACATCAAAGCTGTGCTGACTTCAAAGCCTATAACCACTTATGGCTTCTAGCTATTACTGTAACCATCCACTTCACCCTGACAGCAATTTATCTTACATAGCTGCCTGCCCAAGGTCCACCCCTTTACTTCCTGACCTTTAAAAAAAATCAAATTGAAAGGTATCCTTTCAATTAAGATAATCCCGAATTTAAACCAACTCTTAAAGTCAATGTATTTAGTAATCCAAGAATTTACAATTATAAGAAGAGATTACATATACTTTATTTGTTAGATATTTTACTCCTTGGCCTTGACATACGTTAATGTTAGTAATATAATGGCTGTAATTACTTTTTAAAGAATTTTTGAAAAAATGAACAACTTATCAACAACCATATAAAAATGTTCCAAAACACTAATTATTCAAGAAATGTAAATTAAAGCAACTCTGAAGTTCTATCTCATACCTATCAAATTGGTAAAGACGCCAAAAGAAAAAAATGACAAATGGTGGAGGAGCTGTGAGAATCCTGGCACACTAGTAAAACATTGGTGGAGCTCTGAATTGGTCTAGCCATTCTGGAAAACAATTTTGAACCCTGCCCCAAAAATTACTAAACCACTACCTCTGACCCAGCTATACTACTATTAAGCCTATACCCCCAAAGATATCAAAGAGGAAAAAGACCTTTTTCTGTATACACACATATGCACACACACGCATGCATGCTCACTTGTGTGTGCATGTGTATGCCTATGTATGCATGTTTCTGTCTATCACTCTGTCATATAAAATACAGCTCTTTTTGTAGTAGCCCAAAACTGGAGATTAAAGGAAAGCAGTTGTCCTCCTATTAGGAAATGATGAAACAAATTAATGAAATATTATTGTGTCTAAGAGGAAGCTATTAATGGGTTTTGCTTATAATTCATACCACATTGTGAAGCTTTTAAGCCAATAATTATGGATCTTATCCCAACTCACCACTTTTCGGTTTTATACAGAAGTTAGGGCTTCAGTTGCCTTCTTTGACATAATTATTGTGTCATTCGTTATTGTAACAATGCAGAAGCTTTATGTCAACAAGCATTTATTAAGCACTAACTATGTGCCAGGCAGTGTGTCAAGGGGTGGGGATGCAAAGAAAGGCAAAACCGCGATTCCTGCCCTCAAGGATGTGACATTGTAATTGAGGAGACAACATGCAAGCGACTATATACATACAAGATATATAGAATGTAAGTAGAACATGATCTCAGAGGAAAGGCACTAGCAGTAGGAGGGACCAGAAAGCCTTGTTGGAGAAAGTAGCATTTGAGCTACGTCTTCAAGAAAGCCAGGAGGTAGTAGTGAGGTGGGAGAGGATTTCAGGCATGGGGATGGACACAACCGATTGGAATATTATCCTGTTATCGTTCCTTGCTTTGCCATTGCTTCTACTTCACAGCATGGATGATGGATTAGACTTTGAGGGTATTGTTGTTATTTTGTTTTTTTTACCTCCTTTTTATCTTGTTCAGTGGAGTTACAGATAGAAACAATCCTGGAACAAGTCACCACCTGCTATTATTTCTTTATATTTAATGTTCTATGAATTATTGCACAGGTGGATAAAATAACTACCTTTTATAGTTGCATAAAAATATCAGGATATAAGTTCATCTTCTGTGTGCTCAACGAAAGCATCCTTGCCATAAATTCCATTAGCAGACAAGATGATAGGAATCATATACGCCTGGAGGCAGCTTAGTAATATAATGGATAGAGTGTTATGCCTGGAGTCAGAAAGACCTGAGTTCAAATCCTGTCTAAGATGTTTACTAGCTGTGTGACCCAAGGCAAATGACTTAACCTCTGTCTGCTTCAGTTTCCTCATTTGTAAAATAAGGTTAATAATAGTACCTACCTTCCAGGATTGTTGTAAAGATCAGATGAGGAAATATTTGTAAACATTTAGCACAGTGCCTGACACGTAGTAAGCACTTAACTAATGCTTGTTCCCTTCTCTCTCTTCCCTCATCCTATTTCTTCATGACTTTGATTTTCTCACTAACCTTTCAAGATTTCATTCCATGAAGATTGGAGATTATGATTATTTGGTATGATGACATCTATTAAAAATGTTGTTCTTAAGTTGTGGAATGAGGTGGTGCAGTGGATAGAGCACTGGCTCTGAAGTCAGGAGGATCTGAGTTCAAATCTGGCCTCAGACCAAACACTTGTCACCTACTGGCTGTGTGACCCTAGGCAAGTCGCTTAACCCCAATTGCCTTAAAAAAAAAGTTGTGGAATGATGTCATGAACCATCCATTGTGGACAACATTTTGGGCTATAATAATGTACTGGTTCCAGCAGAAGTGTTAATTCAATTCTCAAGGACATTTTTAAATCTATATTTATAATATGAAAATTTGTGATCAGTAAGCCCCCATGAAAGATAGCAAGCTTTTGATGTATGTAGGT